TTATTATCCATCATCGTTAACGAACAGATCATTTCTTGTTACAACTACTAATGAATATAACTATAAATTATACAATTCTGATAGAAAAACGTGCCGAAAAACAATTTTAGATCCAACACTTGGTTCCCTGTTACGTAAAATCGATATTTTTCCTAAATTATATAAAAATCTAAATGAAGAATATATTTATTTTATAATAACAGATCAAATAGGTCTTCATAGCTTATACCATAAAATGGTAATTTATACGATGCAATGGCTATTATAGCACATCTGAATCGTGTTTGTGATGTATGTGCTTGTTATGATCGACAATATTTATTTACAAGTAGTGCAATTGATAATATCGCACATATATCACGGGTTAATCCACCAGTATTGCATGCTCAAGCACAATTGGGTGAAAAAGATTTAATACCATTTTATAAATTATTAGAATGGATGTGGATGTGGGGATGGGGGTGGGGGTGGGGTGGGGGTAGGAGTGAGTATGAGCGTGGGTATGTGTATGGAAGTGTGTTATGCATCTATTATTACATCCACATCCACACTCACGGATAGAATAATTAAAGCATGAGATAAGTAACATGTCCTGATCTGAACGAAAAATATCTGAACCTGGAAATTAATACTAACTTTCGAGCAACTGGTAGTAGTCGGGTGAGTCATCTATATGAGACATTGATTGAGTTCAAACTATTGGTATACAAACTTGATTGCAACACTGTATGCGATAAATAAAACATAGGAAAAATGTTAATCGACATCCAATTATTGAAGAGGCACCCCCTCTCCGCTCGCGACAGCCCTGATTTGATCAAATGGTATAAAGAACAAAATTGTAGAATTGTGAGGTGCAGCAAGAAATATCGGCTAGACAGAACAATGTGTTATGACAATAGTTAGAGACTCTTATTGTTGAATTGATGACAATTTATTATTTTTGTCGTTTTAATCTTGCGTTTTCTTTTGGTCAATTTATTCGAGAAACAAATCAATAAGAATACTTTTTTTTGCTCCAACGAATATTTTCAGATTATTCTGCGAGGCTTTATTCTCGACGTCTTTCATGTTCATAACGTTCGAAGAGATCGAATTCGATCAGATGTTATCTCGCGAAATAATATATTTAACTAACAAGGCCTACACCCTCATATGTTGTATTTCTCTACTTCCTTTTCTTGCCTCTTTTTAACATCATCGCGATTTTGTTTTTTACATTCGTATTTTGGTTTTTCTCTGTCTCTTCCTCTCTTCAACTTAGATATCTTCTGTATACAATCATGATTACTCTACTTCTGCAAACTGAGATTGAAGTCTCAAAACCAAATAAATGTGAGTCAGAAGATGATTCATGCGTTGGCAACCATAAATGCATCAAGAATAGTATGATCGCATGAAAGATCTGAAATATTTCTTTTTCCCCAAACTAATTATTAATCATAATCTATGAAACTGATATTGACTTCTCATCTATCAATATACCAGGAAAACATCAGACACTTATTTTGTATGTATGTTTTTCCTTCTAAAAGTCGAAGTCTAATGAATATCTGCTCAAACGAGCATGCTCGTCTATATCTGTACTCTACTAGACCTCTTCATATTGTCACGAAATAGTGAATATCACTATTTATTGTCTCATTCTTTGTAGCCAATTTTGTGTTCAGATTCATATTGATAAAAATTCTGGCGGAAGGAGATACAGAAGCAACGGATGTCAGTTCATATGTGGTCTCTTGTGGTGCTTTTACAACCTATTCAATTCCTTTCTCTCATAAGTAACAAGCAATACAGATAACCATACGAAACGAGGTGTAGCCTTACGTTTTATGAATGAACTCTCAGATAAATTATCCGAAAATTTACAATTCATAGATTTCCATGTAGTTGGCAGGTTTCACTTGAAAGCGCACGCATCATTCTTTTGTCGAAATCATATTTTTGGCACAACGATTATTGTTGTGACAATCTTCATTGTACTAGCTTTGAAAAGGGAAAATATTTGATGGAACAATTTGAATGAACAAGAAGAGGAATAAGAATCTCAAATCGAAGAACATAGTAATGAAGTGAGTTGAATAAACTTAACTATCAAAATGAGTGGAAGAACTTCTCATTGATCATCATAATACAATGAAACAGATTGATGGGAGAGAATTTTCATACAAAATTCAGCTGTAATTGGTTTTTTCCGTTCAGATTATGCAAATGCTTTTTGTTTTTCTTTCAGATTTCTCGATTTTTTTTCCAAACTAAGTTTTGTATGATGTAACAAACATAACTTTGTTGATGTACGATGATACACGATGAGAAAAAACCCATAATGATGACAACATGTGTGAGTGTAGGATTTTTCCTTCTTTTTCTACCTCTTTCTCAATTATTGTACAGGTGAGACGATGTAAACGCACATGGATAATATTGAGGAGCGTGCGCGAGTAGCATAAATTACAGGGAGAGTGATGCAAACAACAATATTTTGATGTCGTATCATTTATCCGTTGCACACACATTTTCATATGAAAATACGATTGTAATAACATAAACCATATGCGAACAAACAACAGTAATATCGAAAGCGTAGACAGGTAAGAAAAACGAATACTTCAGAAAGCGTTGACTATTGAATCGTTTACTGTATACTATTCGAGCATATTTTTTATAATGAAAATGTATGATACACAATTCTGTGTATAATGCTATGCATTTTAAACTATCTCGATCGAAATATCAGCTGCTATTTGAAACGACGAAATATTCATGTGAAGAAAAGATTTTATACTTCTTTGAATGACCTATTCTTACGATAGGTTTACGTGATTATTCAAAAAGATTGTCATTGAAGTGAAAAGTTTTATTAGCTCGAAGCGAGGAGAATGAGACATTATTAAATCGAAGGTTTCAGCAAGCTTCTTTCTGATTCCTGAGCAAAAGACGCTGTTGAAAATCCTTAAAATGAAGGTTATTTTGGAAGGAACTGCGTTTATGAGTATTGCTCCTGCTTTATAAGGTAGTTCATCCTATTGTAAATGCATCTCATTTAACGATTGACGTTGCTACGTTTAAAGCCTCTTATTATCTTCTAAACCTACTGCATTGAATGATATGCGTGCGTATGAAATATAGTCTGCTCATTCTCTCTCTTTTGTTCTTTCTCCGTTCGTCTCACTCTCTAGAGCTTAACAGTAGTTGATTTTCGCTCTTACCGAGTAGTCATAGATTTTCTCATGGACTGTGAAGTTGTTAACACTGACTCGTATGTGTAAACTGTGAAGATTTACTCTCAAAAATAGAGAGCATCGTAACGGATCAGGATGTAATTTAAAACAAACAATTGATACTTTGTATTGCCATGGCTATTTTTTTCGTTTACACTGGTCATCTTTGAAACGAATGATCGTATTATTTTTATCAAAAAGATGAAGATTAAATTTGGCTCAACTGAAAATGAATTATTTAATTGAAACGAAAGAAACAGCTCTCAATTGAATAGATCGCATTTGAAATTTGAATCAGCATTCGAAAAGAGTTTTTTAGTCAGGTATAAATCATGTGATTAATAGTATATTCTTGTTATTTGTGAATCGAAGGACCGTTAGTTGCGTTAGAAAGTCATATAGACAGAAATATGAGTATTTTCCAAGTGCTTTCGTAACAAATAATTTGAATTATCATCTATATTCGAATGAAAACAAGATATTATCCATTAAACCAGAATGGCTTGAAAAACTTATCTTACGCCAGTATTTTGGATACGAAATCTGAAATCGGATTGGAATTGTTTTTTTTCAACACTAACTTTGAATAAGAGAAACTATTTTCTACAAAATAAGACGTTCGCAGGAAATATATGTTGATAGAATCGATCACCTTCTCACTCAATAATTCAAATTCACTTCGTCGTAGGTTTTGGTTCAATTCAACAATATCTCTTGTATAGGGATCGCCTTATTCGGGGATCCTACGTATTTGTTCTCACTGTAACCGTCTTCAAAAGACCGATTTAATATTGGGTATGGAAGCTATCTGATTAAGACTTCACACCGATACACAATATTATGTCAGAGAACAATCACATCGTTTAGAATAAGAAGGTCATAGAATTTTGAAAGAGTCTTCACGAAATTAAAAGGATAAAAAATACAAAATTTACAATGTGCATTTTAATATAAAGTACATCCTATCATCGTTTTTGTGGGACTGTAATATTTCATAATCATTCTATTTAGAGACAAATCACTCGACACTTGATGGCTTTTACCTGTATTCCTGTCAGATTCGACTATTCTTCGCATTCGATAAGATGGCTTCCGAAAGCAGACTATCTTATTCAGAAGGAATGATTTTTTTATGCTTTCGATGGAGTGAGAACATACATTCAATTTCTTATTAACATGAGCGGAAAAACGAAGCCTGTTCTGGCTTGCTCCACAATACTTTTTCATTCTAGTCACAAAGAAATCACTGTCACCAAATGCGAGCTTTTTTTCTTTCAGAATAGCATCAATTTCTTTCAGCTTTCCTTCGAACAATTTGTACGTGCAATCATGCTGATTATAAAAGCGGTACTCGTCGGTGATCGGTAAGTGTTTTGCTAAGATAAATGTAAAGATCATACTGGAATATGCAATGAAAAATTATCTTCGAAATTCTCAGCTGTTTTAACATTATGTTTTTTGAGAATAGATTGAACTGATTATAATTTGACTAAATACCGTAGATCCTATACAAACGAGAAAGATTTAAGTTTCTTGAATCGTTCGTACGTCTTTCTTTATTTAGTGAAGCTGATAAAACAACTTTGTCGATTGCTTATCAACGAAATGGATTACCAGGTACATTTCGTAAATGTATATCTATTGCTTCAAAAGTTGATTTGCCTATTTTCTTTTCACTAGAATGTGTACCATGTGTGGCAGAGGATCAAGACATATGGTTTACTTATAGCAATACACAAATTCATCTACGAGTTATCGATACGGTATGCAAAATATATGGAAGATGCGTATTATCTTAGTATAAGAGATATGCTTTTATTCCTGTCTTCTATGCGTTGCCTATTACTCATTATCTCATACTCTTAGAAAAGAATCGAACATTTTTAAAAAAAAAGATTAACAACACGAATTCAAATCTAAGTTGTTCACTTGACAAAAGCTTTGAAGTCGAATTACAAAACCAATTTCACGTTTTCGACTTGAAATATGTGGTTCTTTTACTCTAGAGAACAAAATAACAGAAATATTTCCATTTATCTAAACAACGTGGAAGAATCGGTTCGATACTAACGACAGTCCTGGAATAAACCATCATTTTGTCAATGAGAGTGTGCCGTGTGTCTCATATTGATCGAACGAATAACAAGTTCAAATTTGTTAATAGTGTGAGGATGTACCTGTCATTTGTCTCATGAAAAATTTGAAACTGTCCTTGATGGTGTTTGTGGATTCTAGAGACCTGTTGGTTGCTTTTCTTTTCGTCAAACAGTGACTGGATTTCTAATCGATTTGAAACACTAAAATTCGAAAAACTCATTCTTTTCTCTTCGATTTTTAAAATCGTATGCCATGAATATAACAGAAATTTTCTACTAAATGCTTTTATTTTCTAGGCTGGAGAGGAAGATTTTCACAATCTACGACCACTTACTTATCCGAGGACAGTGAGTGACCCATTATTTTCTTTTCAATAAATGATTTCATTTTTCTTCAGGATGTCTTTATACTTTGTTTTTCACTGGTGCATCCACTAACTTTTGAAAATATTGAAGAAAAAGTAATAGTAGATTCTCATTTTGTGATTCGCATATCAGTAAAAATAATTTTTTTTTCTAAAAAAAAATTTTAGTGGTATCCTGAAGTAAGTGAAATTATGAATTTCTCCATTGTCTTTGAATCGTTTAGTAATTAAAGATTAAACATTATTGTCCAAATGCTGTTACTGTATTGGTAGGAACAAACTTGGAATTACGTGACGATACTGGAAAAGTCTCGAATTTGGAAGTAAATATTATATTCGAAATCATGATATCATGTTTTTAGCAGTATATTTTATTGAAGCCTTCTAAGTCATAAGACTTTCCTGACAGTTCTCATCTTAAAGTTTTCTTTTGTATCTATTCTTTTTTTTTCTTTCTTTGAATTGTTAGAAATTACAACGAAAACCAATTAGTTTTCAACAAGGTTGCTCGATGCAAAAACGAATTCAAGCGCAATCATATATCGAATGTTCGGCTGCAACTATGAAAAATGTTAAAATATTATTCGAAGAAATTGTACCGGCCGCAATAATGAAGTCACAAGAGAATTTTAGTTCAATATGGCCAAAAGGATTTTTCAAGGTAGAGGAGAGAGTTTCTAGGAAAATTAACAGCGAAAATTCGGCACTACCACATTATTATCAGTAACGATAAGATGATTGATATTTTCTAATGGAAGAAAACTGATCGATCAACAATATGGAAAGTTTCGGCTAGCCTTATTTTTTTCGATCAAACCTTCTTCCTAAATTTTAGTAATAATTCTAGAATTCATTAAATCCCACTTTCAAAGATTCAACTTTACTAAATTAATAAAGCTCATCATATCTATTTTGGACTTGCCGATTTTCAAGGGAGCTTTAAAATCTAAAACTCACATTTTAATCGTTTGTTTTGTTGTATAATATAGCCTATGGTACGGCCTCAAGCGAAAATCAAATGATAATATATGAGTGAGAAATTTAGCTAAAGATAGGCCTCATTTAACTAAAATGTCTTGCAAGTCACATTCTGTTTCAGAATATCATGAGGAAAAAATATTTCTGTCTTTAGCTACAAAACATTTGTGTGAAAAGTAAGTCTCTATTTGGTCCCATTCCGTATTCATGTATCATCATCATTCGATTTTTGTTAGACTTCGTCCAATAAGCAATGTTTACGCTAAAATGACAACAATGGTCAATGGAGGTTCTAAAGACATTTATTTGTCTGAGATTTTATGAACTAGTTTATATCAGTTGCCGAGCTCGAAATCGCAATCAATGAACGATATTTTTTTATCAAATTTTGTCTACAGTTGTGTCGACTAAATCGACTTTGTAATAGAATGTAATATTTCAGCGCTAGAATACATTTTGCCATTTTGAAAGAATAAATAATTCATAACAAAAACACCAAAAGTTATTAGCCAATAAGAAAGAAATAAACAAACACTCTACTGAATAGTATCAATTAAGTTAATCGACAGAGTTTCAGCATATTGTTCGAATTGCTAAGTATGAAAGAATAGTCAACTAAATGCAAAATTATAAAATGCAATCGAACTTCAAATTTTTATTTTATTGTTCCACTTTCTAGAAACTATCATCTACTTTGACAATATCTCATCAGAAAGATCGTACATTGCTAAACTCTCCGGTGAAAGAGAACATCATTGTTGACGAGGCAGCTGAATTCAATTTAGAAACAGGTGAATAATTTAATCCTCAAACATTCTTTAATGTTCTCTTACTATAACGGCAGTATGTACCGTTGTTTTAGAGAAAGTGGAAACATGGAATGTTTCGCAAGTCTATGAATGGATCAAAAGTTTAGATAAAATGTATGAAAAGGATGCTGATAAATTTGTTTCATATGGTATTAATGGACAAATGCTTTTATCTGCTATTGATGATGAAAGTTTACAAGGTATTGGCATTATGTCCGTCATGAAGAGACAAAAATTACTACTAGCAATTAACAATTTAAAGCAGAAACAGCTAGAATCACAATCGATGAAAGCATCTTCCAACGAGGAACCATTGAGTATTGAAAAGACATCAAAACAAGGGGAGAGAATCGATTTGTGATTTTGTGATTTAAAATGATTTAACGTGATTTAAAATGATTTAACATGATTTAAAATGATTTATAAATCATTTTACATCATCAAAACTCATTTTTGTATATGATTTAAAGTGATTTAAAATGATTCAATTTTGATTTTTTAGATGATTTAAATCAGTTTTTTTCCCCTAGCATCAAAAGCAGTTTTCTATCAGCAATTTAGGGGTGATTTTAATTCACCATTTCCTAATGATCAATTCATAGAAGGTGAATATAAAAATCTATCATCTTGTGCGTTGTTAGCTGATAATTCACAACATGTCAATCTATATTCGCGTATTCAACAATGGATTGATGATTTGCCAAACGGTTGTACTATAGACAATATTTCATTAATAAAAAATTCAGCTCGTTATCGCATGTTTTTACATTAATTGCAAGATTTCGAAGCATGACACGATCAACCGACTTTTCAACCGAATTTATACTATGAAAATGACCAAAAAGAAAGAAAAAAGTTCTTGAAAGACTTATGAATCGATGTAAACAAGTCGAATATAATCGAAAAGCAAATATTGTACGTATGTGGTATGGATGTTCAAAAGAAACTTTGCCATATTTATTAAATAATGGATTTGCTACGGTTAGTTAAGTTATTGATGATTGGTATGATAAAACGATGTATTTTATGTCATCAGCAAAATATGCAACTCATTATAGTGGTCACACCGGTTGTCTTATATTATGTTATATACTGGTTCTGAATCCATTTTCGGTTATATCATGTGACGTTCCACCTAATGTTCCACTAGAAAATTTTTGTTTTTATGGAAAATGAGGTATTCATAGAGGACGTCGGAGGAGAGACGGGTAAGTTCGGATAAACGGTAAGGATACCCGAGACTCTGACTTATAAGGGAGGTACTCCAACTGATTCCGAGCTTTCGGCTTCATATTTTGGCTATAGGTAGGTCTCAGTGAGACTAAGAAAATCCTAGAAGCATTCGTTCCCATGAGGTGCCAATCCAAAGTTATAGGTGTTTTGCTGAAATTTTAGCCTATACCACGCTATTCACAGCAAATTCAAATGAAGGTATTTCGATCTGATATTCTGACTACAAAAAGATCTAATGATTCCTAGTATGCACCGAAATTTTCAATTAAAACGGATGCTCCCTTCTTGAGATATTCAATTTGCAGGACAGCTCCATTATTCTGACCTGTCTGTTATAAGCGAATATTTTTTGAAAATTGAATATCTCAAGAAGGGAGCATCCGTTTTGATTGAAAATTTCGGTGCATACTAGGAATCATTAGATCTTTTTGTAGTCAGAATATCAGATCGAAATATCTTCATTTGAATTTGCTGCGAATACCGTGATATAGGCAAAAAATTCAGTAAAACACCTATAACTTTGGATCGGCACCCCATGGGAACAAACGCTTTTAGAATTTTCTTAGTCTCACTGAGACCTACCTATAGCCAAAATATGAAGCCGAAAGCTCGGAATCAGTTGGAGTAGTTCCCTCGTTAGTCAGACATTTCCGCCAAATAACGTGGGAATGCCGATTTCTATTTTCTGGAACTGTATATATCTCATCAAATATACCGGAAAAGGTGGAAATCAATTATTTCAATAAGATTGACGCCTCAAGAAATGTGACTGAACAGTTTCGCTGTGTTTCTGTTTTCAGAAATATGAAAAATAGCACTCCCACGATGCTTATCCCGGGTTTCCTCTCATCTGTTTATATGATCAAGTGTTATTCTACACGAACACTTTGTTTATTTTAAAAACGAACTATCTGTTTCAAACGTCTAGAATTTGGTTAGATTTCTGCGAAAACTGACCGTGTCAATAGTAAAGGGATCCGGGAATAAAAAGAAACGATTGCTGATAGGATGTTCTTTTTCAATGGTTCGAAAGAAAACTATCAAAATTATCAATGTCATTATATTCCTGTTTCACCAACTTACGGAAAGGATAAACAAACTCCCATGGATTTTCGTCCACCGATAAATGGAACTGAGAATGCAATTTTCGATGAATTAGCTGTTTTTCAAGAAGTCGATATTCTACTACAAATTGTTGTTCATTTAAGATCGGATAATACAATAACATTTTGATTACAAAAAAATAAAAGTTTTTGATAATGTTCAAAAATAATTCTGCCGAGTCTGATGTGCGATTGATCCTCTATGTTCTCGAAAAGCGAGGGTATGAAAGAAAAACTCCGTTAATATGTTGATTAGTATTAATAGTGAATAAAATCAATGTCTGTAAAATAGAGAGAGCCAATTCAGTTTAGAAATAAGTGAATTAGTGCCCCATGAATGTCACTGGCGATGTTTTGGCAAAAGGATGTGGGTGTGGGTGTGAGAGTCGGTGGGGTATGTGTGTGTCGTTCTTTCCTTCGACATCATACCTCACGCCCACAGCTATAGTCACACCCACACATTAGTGCTGGTGGATTCTAGAGATGTCCACAGGGCAGGACGAATCTGCTCTACTACAGAGCAGGGCTTAGATTTTATATGAGTTCTACCCTCTTATTTTGCAGGGTAGAGTAGAGCAGGAGAAGATCTTTGTGCCTTGAAAATTCTAAACATTAGCTTTAAAAAACAGAGGCATTAGGATTTGCTTCTAAGATGTCAAGAACTACGTAGAAAAGTAACATAAGTATCGGTATCCAATGTTGCTTAGGACTCTTGTATATCTCTAAAAAAACGTATATTTCAATGAAAATAATAAAAATGAAATGGAAGAAGAAAGAATCATTGCAATGGAAACAATATTTGTAAGTGTTGCTGATTTTCTTACTATTTGAATGCTTCAAACAACCGAAAAATATGAATTCAATATCTGCTAATGCTGCTTTATTTCATGATATTCATTTTTCCGCTTCTGCTGATGTGCACCTATTTCATCATATACAGTCGATCAATTACAACGAGGATAGTTGTGAATGCGGATGTCGATGGAGATAAATGAATGCTATCTCTCTTGTCACCTATGCACTAGAGTCCAGTATTGGTTTCAAAATAATTTTCAGGAGGGTGTGGGGTGGGGTGGTGTGGGTGTGTGGGTGGGGTGTGGATGTGGGTGTGGGTGGGGTGTGGGTGTAGGTGTGGATGTGGGTAGGAGTAAAGAGAACCCTCCTACCCACACCCACACCGCTCCTTACAAAAGAGACAAATTTTTTCGAAACGTTACTATAAATTTCCCAATATTTCATCAAAAAAAAACCGATGATGGGGGGGGGGCGGGGGTAGCGCGGTTGGAGTGCCCTGTACCCCTCCCCCTTCAGGGATGTCCCAAATTTCGGAAAATACTGTACAAAAATTTTCTGGACACTGATCACGTGATCAGTCAGTTTGACCACCACCGCCCCCCCCCCCTACGTGATTTCTGAATGACCCCATATTTATAAAAGAAATAAGAAAGGAACATTTGTTCCGAATGTATTTCCTACTGTTTTTGTTCGTTAGTAAATAGATGAGAAAATAAGAATCTATTTATTCCTACCAATAATTACTATTTTCGATGGCGTATAATACACGTGATGAGATTTATGATATTACAGGTTCAAATTTACAAATATGTTTAGTTAATGAACATCATAAGCAAATGAATTATCTGATAATGATTTATCTACACAATCAAAAAATTTAAAATCCGATGAAATAAATTTATCTATGATAGAAAATAATGATGAAGATATTCTTGCAAAACAACAAAGATTAAAAGTAAAAATCAATTTATGTTATTTTAATAAAATTTTTTTTTCTTTTATAAAGGAAGAAGCTAAAGTTGCTCTTGTACTTGGTGCAAAAATGGCACGAATGCAAGTACAAATTGAACGACGAGCTTTAAAAAAGAAAAAATCACCACTTTATGATATTGTATTTAAATTATAATTTTTTTTTTTGATTAATACTCGTTTCTTTTTTTTTTAAATTAAAGATTGGTATTAATACGAATGATGATAAACCATTAACTCTTCGAATGCTTGAAGATATGAATATTTGTCAATTACAAGTTATTGTTAATGATTTGCATTGTCAGATTGAAGGTATATTTGATCTTTTATAAATAAAAGAAAATAATAAAATTGTTATGTTCTTTGTTATTTACGTATTTAAGGTCATAATGAAGAACTAGTCAATCTTTTAATGGAAAGAGATTCATTAAGTATGGAATAAGATTCAATTCTTGTTGATATTGAAGATTTAACAAAGTAAGAATTAAAATTTTAATAATTTGATATACTTTTCTTTTTTTGTTAAAAAATTCTAGACGTTTACAAGAACATGCTGCTAGTTTATCACCAGAATCAAAACGAACATCAACAAATGGTGCAGCACAACGTATTTATATTGTAAAATCATCAACAACACAACAACAAGATGTACAGAAAAAATCTATTCTTCATAATCTTTTACGTAAAGCTACTTTTACTTAAATTATTATTCGATTTATTGCCGGTTTGCTTTTCTATATTAATTTAATGAAATGAATGTCCATGTCCGTGTGTGTGTTTATTACATTTCTTCGTAAATTTATAGCGTTAAACTTAGGATTTCTTTTTTTTTTCATGGCCTATTGGTTCGACTTGTTTTTTTCTTTTTCATTATAAAATAAATGTTTTGCAGTTTGAAGAATGTTTCAACAGACTCAACTTGAAATAATTATTAATATAAGTATTAGTGTGAACGGAAATGTTGTAACATGTCTAGCAAAACTTGTGACGCTTCGTATAAATCTAATTGATCTACCGCCGAAGCTCTAACGATTTAGATGCTACAAGAGAAAAATAGATATTTGATGCTCAAAAATTGTTACTAAAAAAATATTAAATAAAATCTGAAGACTTCAAAAAGTAGTAGCATGAATAAATACTAATGAAAATATATCTGCAGGATATTGCTAAGTAATTATTAAACTTTCTGATCTGATGTATAACTAAGCGGTGGTACCATTCATAGAAAAGATAAATAAAATTGATGTGAAGACATTGATTAAAAAGTCTAGAATTGTATGAATATTAAGAACAATCTTCATTTATATAAAGGGTGACCAAGAAATCTTCACTCGATTTGAATAATAAATTTTTCGTCAGTAAAAAAACATGATTAAAAATTTATCTCTATGATGAAAAGATGGAGTAAACCACGCTCTACAAAATGACTATTGATTGACCCCCATTACCTCGTATAGTAAGAAAGTTAGAAGCTTACAAATGTGCTTCATAAAAAATAAAAATTAACCTTGTACTCGGTCTCGATTCTGTAGAATAAATTCTTTCTTTAATCGAAGCGTTGTGAAATTATCTTATATGCGAGGAAAAAAAAATAAAAACGTTGTAAGATTGTTATTGGTTTTCTCACTTAAACTTTTTCTTTTCGTATTATTTCCGTAAAACAACATAGCAAAACTGAGAACTCAGTTAAGCTTAGTACCTTCAAATATACACTCTTTCTCTTGATCCGTAAAAATTTTTATTTACAAAAGATTGTGTACTGGAAATCCAAGCTTGAAAAATAAATCAAAAATCAATGTCCTCGTTTTCGACAATGTACTCGCAAGAAACAGAAAATGTGATCGAAGTTTTGATGCTGCAACTAGATATTTCAATGTGATTTTAAGCAATAAATGTTGGTTAAAAAAGCATACCGATGACTTTGCTCTTCTTATTCATTTATAATAAGTGTTCCTCTCATCGACTACACGTATTCAACTAAAAGAATCATATTGTGGATGTTGCTAATCATTAATATAAATGGACAGAATGATGAATATTTCACTGTTACATATAGCGGAGACGAATTCGGAATCAGAATTCGATAAAAAATTTTTGAGAGAGAACGAATTAGAAACAATTTTTTACGTGTATTAAACGATGGGGACGAGTTCGGAATCATTTTTTGGGGGTCCAGTTCAGACAATTAAAAAGGGGAGGAATCAGGAGTAATCCATTTGAATATAGCATTTAGAGAAAAACGATTTTGTTCTCTCGAACTAAATTAATTTTTGTTGGAGAAAAAAAGATAAATCGTTCTTCTGGAATCAAAATAAAAGTGGTGAAAAGATCATTTGAATTAATCTTTATCAGGAACCATAGTTCATTCCCATTTTCCTTGAAATTAACTCAAAAAAACAAAGAAAATATTACATTATTAGACGAAAAAGATGTATGATAACATACTGAAGCTCTTTAATTGGAAAGTGGACGATTTATTCATCTCTATTTATTACCAAGAAGCGGCTACTAGAGATTTATTTTTTATGGATTTATTGGGTTTTTTAAAAATTCCCGGATATTTTTTCACTATCGTTTATTCTATAATTTATTATGTCTTTCATTGGATTAATCGGCATACATCTCATTATCAGTTATTCCTTTGTTGATCAATCTTTTTCCTCAACATTCATTCTATGAAAATTATTCTGTTACGAACCTTGTTTTCATCTATGTTGCTACGATAAAATAATATTTTAGCGAATCAATCTTTTTCTAGCGGATGTATTCTAGACACAATCAGATCTTAGAAAATGTTTTACATTTAACGTCTTAATATGAATTGATTCCTCAGTGAATCGAGTCTGTTTTCTTCGAATTTATTCGACCATAAACGAGATCAGGCCTTACTGTACAGTAACAGAACGAATAGAGAACATTTGAAAAGAGTATATTTGAAAGAAAGAAAGAAAAGATAAGTGTGACAGGACAAATGGAATCATCTATCATCTATATGTCTTTCTAGGTTTAACAGTTTAATGTAAACAAAAACACTTTTTCTCTACTGAAAAACTTGACTGTATAACCTATGTATCACCGTCTGCAACGAGTCAAGAAGAAAATAAATCTTAGAATTTTAAAAACCATTCAAATAAATCTTGGGACTCACAAAGAATCCAAAAAAATCCCGAAAAAGAAGTAAATCTCTGGATTTATTAAAAAATCTCAAAAAAAGTGCTGAAAACGGCTGTATTTCAATCGATCTAAAACAAACAAATCTTATTCTTCTTTACTCATTCAATTTTATTTAATCCGAAAAGGATCGATGTTGACATCCGAATTCCTCACGTTCTTGTGTTTTTACAATGCATTGATCAAGTCAATATTAATATATTTAAATTCCTTTTCACTATTAGAATAGAATGTTTTTCTCAGCTGATACAAAGCAAAGTGCATTTTTAATACGATAGAATCTCATGTACCACTTACTTTAGAGATCGAGATGTTATAGTGCTACTATTTTCATTTGACTCATCACAAAGCACAGATAAAAAACTACTATTTATCAGTGGAAATTCTAGATTAATCGGATTTTTTTCATACATTAAATTACTTATTTCATTTTATTTCATCTTCATTGTTAAAACTAATTATACGATAAAGGATCATCTAGAATGAATGTTGAATCGACAATCGCTTTTTCGAGATATCCCTTAAACACAACGGATAGAGGGTAGTAGGTAAGGAAAAATAACGAGGTCATTTTTTCTAAAAATGATTGGCTTGGTGGGTATCTAGATCAATAACTGATGGATTGGTTACGCAGTCCATAAATGTCAAAAGAAAATCCAATAGATACATCAAATTGATGGATTTCAATAAATGTCTGTCTTATCACTTTAGTAGTCGGTCATTGAAAAATAAAACATAGGTTTTATTATGTTACCTTGTCCATCCTATCATATGATATTCTATAGAAAAATCAACAACAAATCTACTGGTGTCACCGGTGTTTTTCTTATAGGCACTTTTTTTCTATGTATTAAGAATTGACAAACGTTTAACTTTGATCATTTTCACTAGTAAAAAGCAGTTAATTTATATATTCAACAAAAAATATCTGACAACAAAAGATGACTAGGTATAGAGAAGTCTATTTCGTCGAAAATGTTCAGTATTGATTATTCCACGATGAACCATAATAGATGAATTACATGCTTCAAGAAATCATTATCGAATGAAATACAACTATTCGCTTGGATGACATGATCTAAATAAACAACATAATAGAAAAATTTTTTGATATCAAATGGCTACATAATCTCTTACGAATTTCCTTTAATATTTGTTTTGCAAATAATTTTTTTGCATTGGATTCATTTAGATTTTCTTTTAATTGTTCTTCGATTGTACGTAAATTATTTTCACTAATACAAATATTTGCGAAAATTTTCGCTAAACGTGTAAGGTTTTCTTCAATTGTAATTTCACCAATAGTATTGAGCACTTCCACCATCACTTCCTGGCCTTCCAAAATTTGATCAGCCATTGCTTGTTCAACCACGGGCACAATATTCTGATCAGTCATAAATTTCTTAATAAAACATCCAACTTTTTTCGATTGTTCAGCTTGCATGTTACGTATTACCTAAAATATGAATGAACGTTTATCATCTTTATAGTATTGAATATCGCGCAGGAGAAGAAGAAAAACAAAGTTAAGCCAATTTGTTTAATGACCTGTCTATGGGGTCAAATAGAATAAAAAAAAAATACAACGAATTAAGCAATGTGATTGGTCTGTTCCGGCTTAAATCATCTTTTTCAGACTATTTACTCGTTAATTTAGTCTTAGTTCATTTTAATTCGTCTAGTCTGTTTGGGGCCTATAGTGACAACGGACTCAGGAAAAAGAAAAGGAAAAATTTCTTTTCTTTAATATTTGCCGACAACAAGAAAACAAACATACTTCATCTTTTAATCGAATCTTCGAGACCAGTTCAATAATCGAACGATGATTTGGATCTAAAACAAACTGAGAATCGATCACTTGTTTGAGAAAAATATACGAGCACTTACCAGATTCATTTAATTTATCCAATAACAATTTTTGTTTTGAACTATCAAGATCAAAAATATTGCGTGAGCAACAATTTCCAAAATTAACCAAAATATCGTCGTCCATGATTACATCATTTTTTTTACCTAGCGTGAAATGAAATAAAGTAATCGTATATTTTTTTTCACCCATATCTGTGATTTTCCCTTCCATATCTATTATTTTCCCGAGTTTAAAACCAGCTAAATAGAGGTCATAGACAGATTGCAATCATATGAGAAGCTCCAATAATAGCCTTACAATCATGATTTGTAAACGCGACAACATCATTAATTGAATTTTGTTTATTATTCGATTGTTGAACAGCATCGTGATCAAAAGAACTGTTTATGTCTGTTGTAGTTGAAGTAGGCATTGTTAACAAGAGAGAAGAATAATTGAAATTAATAAATAGATCATTTTCAAATGTTAATAAATAGTGGCGGAGCCAGGATTTTGAGCTGGGGGGGGGGGGGCTCAACCCCCTCTGAGGGACCTTTGAGCCCCGGTTAGCAAATAAAATACATGGTTTAAAAATTTTCCTGGGAGGGGCTGAGCCCCCCCCCCCCAGCCCCACCCTGGCTCCGCCACTATTAATAAATCATTTAATTTCTAATTGGTTATTTTAGAACCAATTTCATCGTTCTTTTTAAAAATCTTGCACTAATTTGTGTAAGCATAAAAGGTATTTATTTCTTCTTGAGATCTTAAATAAATAATATCTCGAAAATCATTTATTCAATCGTCAATCAGAAGATGAAAGAGGCCGCTAGGATAGCTTGTTTATTTACGTTTGTTTCATAGATTGAGATAAGCTGATCAATAGAAATCTAGTTGTAGTTTCTTTAATTGAAATTCATGATGATATTATTATGGCTATTAAATGATGCAGGAATTATATTTACATTACTCTTTATAATATTGTTTTTGAGATTTTTCATAGTGAATGAACTTCATTCGAATTGAAATTTGTTTCTGCTGCTACCAGTGGCGGAGCCAGGATTTATCGCTAGGTGGGGCTTAGCCCCTCAAGAATTTTCAACCCGTCTTAGGTATATGAAATTTACCTATTAATATTAATCCTGATGTAATATACAGGGTGGTAAATAATATTATTCAAGGGGGTACCGCTATAATTTCTAATTGAAAACATGATGTATTTTATACCAAATAAAAGCCC